ATTGGAATCTCTAAAGCAGAAATCTGAATCAGATTTATTAAATGTATTAAGTTACTTCAACTACTATCAAGTACACTTTTTAGAGTGTTGGTGTCCCCCTGTACATCAACATGTGAATCATACTGCACCACTCTTAATAACAGATATATATGTCAAATATATATCTGTTTCCAATTCTAATGAACATAAATTAAATAATGCCTTTATCATATATTGAATATGTTAAATTGTTCCTTGACTACAATATATTGAGCTGTATGATTGAAGATGAAACCCCAGGGGGAAATTCAATTTTTCAATCTCACCACTTTACTTTTTAACTTCAGAAATTCAGCATTTAAATTAAGATTATATGGATGGTTAAAAAAATTGGTAAATATATAGTTCCCTTGAAACTAAAGCCTGTGAAATAGTGACAACTTTCATAAAGTTATAAAATTCAATTGACAGTTTCAATACTGACATATGTATGTATCCCAGCACCTTGTACTTATTGCACATCTTTGTCCAGAAGATTAAAGTAACCAGGTAATCACATCTGCTGTTCAAGAGTCAGACATCAGTTTGTTTCTATAACAGTCGAGGCGGAGTGGTGTGAAGCTCTAATCTGACCTCAAATCTGTAGTTACAGTCACCACCTCAGGGTTGGGATTAAGGTGTGGTTACGTAACTCTATCAGAAGCTTGGCAGGGATCAGCGGGCATTGTCAACCTGACTGTGTGCTTCAAAGGAGCTGACCGGAGGAATCATGATACTGTGGTATCACTGCAGCCGAGCTTGCCTTTCCTGTGTATTCTCTTTCTTTCAGCTAACCTAGATAGAGTTATTTGTCATTTGCAGCCCTTCAATTCTGATCCGATAAAAAAAATGCTCTGGGAGGCCATTTGAAGGTCAGATAAGGTCATTTGAAACCTATAGCTCAGGGATCATTGAATCATATTGCATTAATGTGACCAAGACCCCAAAGTCAGAATTTATTTATTGACTGATCATATATCAGTTGTGTTCCGGACTACTGGAGAAAAGAAAGGCCATTACAATGATTTGCAAAAGCATTTCCTATAACGGAAGTTCTTTATTGTGCCAAAAGGGGATGTGATTTAACTACAAAAACCAAAAAAAAACACAAGATGTTAAAATATAAAGACAATTAAACCAGAATAGACTGTAAAAAGTGCCCACATTGCATTGCTTCTTGACAATGTCACCTCTATCTGTGTGCTACTCTGTGGCATTATAACAAAGAAGTAAGAAAGAAGCCACAACGCTTACTACATATGATTGTAAGTAGTAAGTGACATACAGCATGCCCCAACGTTTCCATTGAGAGGAAGGTGGTGGGGTCTTAGTCTTTATTACCATGGCAACAGGTCTCCCTGAGGACTAACAGCTGGGGCACAGTGTTATGACGTTTCTGGCCCACCGCCCAGTAACCCCCCCCCCCCTCGTTCTTCTTCATGTCTCGTCCTTCACTTTCCCCAGGACCGACCGCCCGAAGCTGCTGCTCGCTGTGTGAATCTTATTACACGATGACAAACAAAACACTGGGGGCCAAGGCCACCAGGGAAGCCTCCTGATTGGTCAAGCTTGCAGGGGTGTGTGCACTAACAGTCTTACATAAGAGGTAAGATTTCCCTTCCTAGAAAGAGAAGAAGAAGAAGAAGTCAAAAAAATGAAGACATTGCAGCTTGCTTCCTTCTTCCAACACACCAATGAAGAAGCGTTTGTCACATTCACAGCATGCAAAACAAAATGATATGTAATGTGTTGCCTTGGCAACAGGTCTATGTGATGCATCACATTTGCTAACAAGTTCCTGTATGTGCTGTACATCCTGAAAGATATGTTCATTCTCCTGCATCAGTCAACTGCCACTTGTTAGTTCTTTAAAACAAACTTTCACATTGCAAATGTAAAAATAATTTAAAACCAGTGCAAATATGTTCAGTGCAATTCCAGTTTGTAAACAGAAATGTTCATCAAGTCTTAATTAAAAGGAACCTCTGTTGAACATTAATATTCAATATAAAACAAAATGTGCTGCTATTTACATTCAAGGGCACATGTTTGTAATTGTGCCAGTCAGTATGACTAAGGTACTTTTAAGTCTATTTAAAGGAGGTGTTAACAATGTTTTGTCTAGCACCGTTGCACATTGTGAAATAATTCCTACTTAAAAGGATGTGTGAAGAAAGCCTGCATAAAGCACACTTGTGAAAGCTTAGTTAAAGTATGTGAAGAGAAAAATATAATTTTTCATTCCCAACCAAAGAGCCCACCTGCAGTTTTATTGACACACATTCAAAGAGCAGAGGAGCGTTTTAGTGAAGAGAGCTCCTGTAATGTTTTCAGTCTGAGTGGCTCTTGATTGAGACTAAACAGAAAAGATGCACAACACTTAACATTGATTTCAGTTGAATGAAGCAAATCTCTCAGGCACTCAGTGTTCCCTCTGTGCTCTTTTCTCTCGGCAGCAAAAAACCCCCGAACAAGGTCACCCTCGAAGCAGCTCCAATTTACTGACACAGAGAAATTGAAGAAAGGCTATCAAGCGGGCGGTGAAGGACATGCTGTCCTCAGGGCTACAGTTTACGATCCCATTCGGTGAAGGCAATACAGCAGATCCGCTTTTTGTGCATTTATTGATGCGCTGACGAGGGCCTTTCACAAAAAAGATGGGTTAGTTTGTTTTGCCTTATGAATAGATGGCTTAAATATGAGTATATGCTTGCAAAATGAACACTTTTGCAATGTATAAATAATCAATTGGATATCTGTAATAGTTGGAAAACAAATCCAACATTTAGGTTAACATCATGCTATATTTGAGTATGCGTTACTAACAGGTGATTGACTTTGCAGTAAATATCACATATGAAGATAGATCTAAATACCACAGAATTTACTGTGTATCCACATCCAGTATTAGAAGGTTTAATTTACTTACATTTCTACACTCTATGAAGAAACTACTTTCCAAAAACATTGGAATTTGTCTTGAACCATATTACATCATTTAAAATATGCAATGTCATCCTAACTGGCTGAACAGCACAGTCGATCACGGGTGCGCCACTGCACCTGCAAAAAGAATGCGTATGACTCATAAAACAGGAATTTCAGTTTGAGTCCAACTGTAAATGGCAGCAAGGGTAAGCTGCAGACTTTAGGAGACACATTAGTAGCGGGTGCACAATGTGTAAACTGCAGTCTTGGCAGCTGGATGTGGTTTTTTCCCCAACATTTCTTGCATGTATTGTACAATTCTTAGATACTTCTTCAAGTTGGGAGTTGCTTTGAATCACTTTAGTTGGACACAGAAAGTTATTTAAATAATTGAATTACAGGTTGTAGTTGCCAACAGTATAATCTCTTCACAGCTGTTACTAAAACCGCTTCTCTCTGCTTATTTTATAACATATCCAATCAGACAATGCAGGTTTCAACCTGTTCAGGAATGCTGGAGGACGTGCGATTTGACTCAGTGGCGTTTTGTATGAATGCTTCAGCTCTTCAGACCAACATAGTAAGATGTGATGGTGTTGGTATGCAACGTAGGTCTGGTCTGTTTAATAAAGCGAATCTGCCACTTTATATTGTAGAATTTGTTAAATTAAAGCAGTTTTTAATTGTTTGTCCTAAACATAGCAATATATGCTTTTGAAATGTCTTTGAAAAAAATAACAGTATACAGTTTATATTGTGTATCACCTTTAGCTTGAAAATACATAGATGTGTTTTTTTTATATCTATAAAATAAATAAACAGGCAGACACTTTATCAATCCCAAATTGGGAAATTATTTTACAGCAGCAGTGTGTTCAGGTATTAAAATATTTAAAGTTGGAATACAGTATAAACTACACAACACAAGTATAATGCACAGCAGGGCCGTCCCTGTCCAACTTGGGGCCCCAAGCGACATTGTGAGATGAAATAACCCAATTTGTGTTCTGTGAAACTGAAAAGGATATTACATTGTTTTTGTTACTTTCGTTGCAGTTGTAAATATGTCTTAAATGTAATTTAGGTTAAATTCCTGTGCTATTTAGATGCTTTTATTTTGAAGGCGAGTTTACGATGTTGACAGGAAATTGTTGTTGCTATGGAAACAACGTGACGGAGAAAAGGAGCGGAGATTAATCTACATATAAAGACGGAGAAAGTAAAAGGATAAAGTTTATGTTTAAGTGTAGCACCCCCCGAAGAGGCACAAGGTTGGTATTAACTATAATATAAACATTTGGGCTTTGTCCGAATACATTTATATGCTGTTTTGTAGCTTTGCCGTCTGTTTACAGTTAACTTTTGGTAGTATGCTAAAGGGATTCTAGGATGGAGCCTACATTTATTTGTTATTTGTGTGTCTTTATAGCTCTTACGTTGATATTGCTACAACGATGCTTGGCAATGGGCATTATTATTATTATAGGCCAGACTTACCTTAAAGTCATTTTTCCCCCTGGAAAAAGCTGGCCCACCCTATTTTATACAGGCCCGCCCTAAAGTACATTTCTGCCTACGCTACTGATCTGACTTATTGTCAAATCAAGGGCTTATTTAAGGTTAATCTACAAATTGCATTGAAGAGTGATTCTGCATGTCACAATATATGAAGCCTGAATCTACGGAACGACCATCAAGTTCACTTAATGTATGCTCTGATGCATCTGCTGTGGGTTACACAAGAACACTTATGAGGGAGATATTTATCTAATGTGCGACAGCCTGCAACTTTTGTATTCAATGCTTTAAAACATTTACTTTAGATATGAAAATAATGACATTGCCTTAAGAGTAGACAGACACACCCTTGTTCTAAGGAATGAAGTCACCACTGTGTGAGGACTTTAACTCAAATGTTGCCATGGTATGTTCCCAGAGGGTAAAGCACTGAGGCTAAAAGGCTTGCTCTAAATTCATGAGAGAATGAAGATGAATCATTTTAGGGTTCAAAATGATCTTGTGTGAAGTAGTGAAAATGACCACAGATGCAGAAGTATGTGGAAAAATATTTTATTGTCAAAGCTTGTGTGATTGGAAGAACATAATTAACCGATTTCATTTCAAATGTCCAAATACAGAAACCACTAAATGTGGCAAACACAAAAGTGGCATAAAGAAGCATTTTCAAATTAATCCAGCATAGTTGATGAAAAAAAAATATATATTAAAGTGGACAGGTAGAACACTTAAGGAATGCTTTCACTCGGTGAAGCTCCCTGATGTTTAAGACAAACGCAGGGTGTTTCTCAATGTCGAGGACGCTTGCTTGGTAGCACATGTCTTCCGAGTCACTTGCTTCAGAAGCGAGGCAAGATTCCTTCCTAGCCTCGGAAAACAAAGAATTGTGGAACAGGCTAACAAGTGTGCGTCATATTCGAGGCCCCGCCTTAAAGGGAGCTCTTCTTCCGCCAAAGATTTGGAAATTGGTCCGTGCGCAAAGCATTGTGGGGATTTTAAGAAGGCGGAGTCTATACATGTGCAGCCTCGAAATTTCTCGCTACGAAGTACGCCGGCCTCAGTAGAATTCCAAGTAACTCGATGACGTAGTATGCTTGAAATAGTGGCTCTGGAGTAGCCTTCCTCGACATTGAGAAACACCCAGAGAGAATAAATAACGTGGAATAAACAGAACAGTTCTTTATAATAACTCTGCACACTGCTCAAAATACAGATTCACTGCCCCCTGCAGGTGATAAGATAATGTCAGTAATTTTAACAGGAATCTGTCTAAAGTGCATCAAAGGACACAACAAAAGGAAACTAAATTAACTTGATTTAAGCCACAGGAGCTTTTTTTAAATTCCTTTAAAAGCAAAACTATTTGGATCTCCAAAGAATAACAAGTGGAAACACTTACAAAAAGGTAACATTCTCAGTTTGTTAAATAGATTTTTGCAACAATTCATTAACATACAAGTCATCTTCTTCTTAATCCAAACAAGTTTTCACAGGCCACGTTGTTATCCTTGACACTGCAGACAACATTCCACCGTCACACTGCTCCTCACCCAGATTTTCAAGCAGAAAAAATGAGGCAAAAGCGAAGCAGGGAGTAGACGGGAGCGGGAGGAGTGTCTCCGTTGCACTGACCTTTTCATTCTGGAGACACGGTGTGCCAGGCAAGCAGAGCCCTTCTGGTTTTACAGAGAAGTGAGAGAATGACTATGTACAGGCCAGGTTTCTCTTTGGTCAGTCTTTACATTATGTACAATGAATACTCGGACCGATGGTGAGCATCCCTCAGTTAGCACGAGCAACTCGCGTCTCCGAGCTTAGGTAGTTCAGCATGGTCTGGATGAGCTCTGGGAGATCGTAATCGTGCTTCCAGCCCCACTCCTTCCGTGCGTTGGAGTCATCGAAGTTCATCGGCCAACTGTCAGCTGGAAAGAAGAGATGAACAAGATATAGAATTAAACTTCAGAAAGAAAACATGCTAGTAACAATTTATGGCATTGTAGTTCCAATTCACAGCATGCATTGGTTTAACTGAGTAGTTGCCATTGACTATGTAGGTTTTGCTTATACTGTAAAGCTAATTCCTCTAAATTACCAGTAGCTTATGGGGGCTAACTTTATCTAACTTAACAAAAGATACTGCTGTGTAACCAACATAACTTAAACACTAAACAAAAACGGGTTTTCTAAATGTTTGCAGCCCACAAAAGCAGATCACTTGAGAAATCAAGTGATAATGTACATATTTCTTGTATTTCGCAGTTTTGACCACCATTTGTGCATCATAAAGTGACGTACCGATGGCCTGCCGTACGTGGTCCACGTCATACGTGACCTCCAGCTCGGGCATCTGCTTCTGCAGCTCCTGGGCCAGTTCCTCGGGGGTGAAGCTCATGGCATTGATGTTGTAGGTCCTCATGCTCAGCGTGTCAACGGGGGCCTCCATCACCTCCAGCGTGGCGCGCAGGCAGTCGTCGATGTACATCATGGGCAGCCGCGTGTCGGGTCTCAGGTTGCACTCGAATTTCCCACTTTTGATCGCATCGTGGAAAATCTGGACGGCATAGTCTGGATAGAGACAGAAATTAAAACAAATACATATAAATAAAAAAAAGCAGTCCAGGGGTATTTGAAATAAATTAAAAGAGGCTGTGGTTATGAAAGTGAAAGTATGGCGATAGTGCATCAAGTTATCAGCTGGTCTAAAACTAGAACCTGTGGAGTTAACTTTCAGGAATACATTGGTTACATGGTTACAGGAATAGACGTCCATTAAAATGGAAACCATGTTACATGTTCTGGATTTCATCTCTCTCACCTGTTGTCCCACCCCCTGGCATGGAGTCAGCAGAAATGATCCCTGGGTAGCGGAGACAGCGGAAGTCCAGGCCGTAACGGTGGTGGTAATACTGCCAAAAAAGAATATTGATTACAAATGTGGAAAAAAACAATATGCTACATTACATGTTACAATTTGCCAAGTTAAATATTGTATTATTGTATTAAATATTGTCAAATCCCTAATATCTAGGCACCTGTTTGGTGTGTATGGGGTTTTACTTCGAAAGAAATAAATAAATAAAATCTGAATTCTCACCTCTCCCATCAGCTCTGCATGCACTTTGGAGACCCCATAGATGGTGCGAGGTCTCTGCACACACAGATCTGGAGTGGGGTTTCTGGGAGAAGTGGGACCGAAGGCTCCAATAGTGCTGGGGACAAACAGACGCAGGCCGTGCTCCGCTGCGATGTCCAGGATGTTGTGAAGCCCTAACAACGAGAAAAATAAACATAAGGACAACACACTTCACCTACACTTCGACTCAGTGTTTTGACCTAAGAATATGACGTCCTTACCGGTGATGTTTACGGAGCGCGCCAGGGCCACGTTGGCCTCTCCAACAGCACTGAGCAGGGCGCTGTAGTGAAACAGCCAAGTGATGCGGTTGTTCACCACAATCTCCCGCAGGTTCTTGTAGTCCAGGATGTCTGAGTAGATGAAGGGGCCTGAAAACGAAAGAAATGTGTCTTTATTTTTATAAATCAAACGTTCACTTTAAGTTGTATAAAGTATCTGAAATCTGCCCTTCCCTTGGAAGATTTAAAAAAAAAAAAACGTATAATCTTTTATCATGTATTTTTACTGCACTTTGAGCTTGTATCAAAAGTGCTCTATAAATTAGGCTTATTATTATTAATCAATATTTAGTTTTATTATTAAAACCTGCGACATTTTGTCCAGTTGCACTGTTCTAATACCCAAAGCCCAAACGTTCATTACGTCTTTGGACAGCTCATTACTTGACTTTTAGAAGGACGAGGTCACAAAAAAAAAAAAATCAATAACTGGACAGGCCTTATTTGCAAACACTGTTTGTGTTATCTGGCAATAAAGTTTAGTACGTTTGTAAAACATTAACACATTTTTGAAGATTTTATGTGATAAAAGATTGTCTCGACAATCAAGAGCGTGGATGCTCCCATTTGCCAAATTAACTAAATGTCATCAGAAACACCCATGCTTAAAAATAATAAAAAAGGTGCTTTGCGCAGACCAGATCTGATCAATTTCAGGAAGCAGAATACAGTACAGTATTAACACAAGTCGACTCACCACTATGGAAAACGCTGCTGGGAGGTTTCCTGATGTCGGACAGGATGACGTTATTCTTTCCAAACTTCTTTCTGTGAATCGGGGAGTCAATGTTACTCAATTGGAAAATTGACCAGAAACTCCCACATTGTGGGAAGTATTTGGCACTAAGAGGTTTTCTGGCAAACCATGTGATTTTCGATAGTTACTGAGAAATCTTACCTTAACATTTTGGCAAGCCCCACCCCGAGCTGTCCCAGACCACCTGATGGAGAGAGACATAATGGCGTCATTGGGGAAAACACAAACATCAGCAGCTAATAATCATCAGTGTTTGTTTCCATGGAGACTAAAGTAATTTAAAGAGTGGGCCTTGAGAAAAAAAGGTCAGAGTACCCTTAAGCCCGCCCGCCCCCCCAGAACATAATATTACAAGGACAATGATTTATTTGCTTTTGTGATTTATTCGAGCAAATAATGGCACCCAGAAAGAGGCTGTATAAGCTTGAAGACGCCGTGGAAAAGATGTTCGCTGACTCTCCGTCAGAAGATGATCATCTACTTCGGCCACAATTAGACCCTGATTATGAACTTCAGGAAAGGTATGTACTCTCTCTGTTTGTATCTATTAGTTGTGTATTCGGTGTAATCTATAGTAATTCCACACTCGCAAAATACAAAATGGACGCCGCTTTGTTGTTGTAGCGTTATCGTTCCGTGAGAAACTAAAACAATGGGAACATCATGTTGGTGAACGTATAAATAGATTAATTGTATTTCGTGACTATAACACGGCAGTATATAAATAAGGCTGTATTGTTTATCAACCCAGTCTATCTATATATACACCAGCGACGTGCAGTCAGGGGAGGCAGGGGAGGCAGAGCCTCACCTGTCATACTCATAGACTGGCCATACTACAATGTAACGGAAAAACAACTAAAGAAAAACTAAATAGTAATAATAAAATGTCTCCACTGATCTGTTTTGTAAATGTGATTTATGTTTGATTCCAACCTTTTTTTATAGTCAAAATCAGCAAATTTGCCGAGCTCCGCTACAACTACATGGGAGCGATGAGGAGTCTGGCAGGGACGAGCTCTGCCTCACGTAAGCCCACAGTAACTTGCTGGAGCGCGGGCACTAATTTAGCGCGGGCACTTATTTTGTGAGCGCGCTCAAGCCAGTTACTGTGGGGTGAGGTGAGGCACAGATGAGATCTGCCTCACCTCAAAATGCGTCACCTCACATTAACTGTCTGGAAAGCGGGCCCTAAGCGCATGCCTGCACCATCTCACTGTAGGTCACCAATGTAATGTTTGTAGATCCTTTTATTACATTTATCCTCGCCATCCATAGTCTCTAAATAACGTATTTCACGTAGGCCTATATATGATATTCAGGCTCGCTGGTCTCATCATACAACGGCAATGAAAAAAGCACCAGGGGAGGCAGCCATAACCTCTGCCGCACTGAAGGGGGCGCACGTGAGCCCACAGGTTCTTGTTGCTACTGTTATTCTACGCAGAGACGCGAACAACAAACTAGACTTTTGAAACTTGAGGAAGATAAGGAGGACTTTTACAAAAAAGTAATAGAGATTGTTGTCCAGAAGGATAGCATGGACTTCATCTTCAAGTCAAGGTAAGACCACATTGGTAATGAAAATTGGTTCTTACTAAGAAAGAACAATCCAATATTTAGATTGTGGGTATCCTTTTGTTGAACGGTCTGTTTAAAATGAATCGAAACATCAGACCAAAAAAGCTTTTGAAAATAACAGAATATTTTGACTAAGGTCAGAATATAATATTTGTAAATCTGACTGAAAGAGTCAGTGCCTCACCAGCCATGAACCTCACCGCACGTCACTGATATACACTGTTATTTCACACACGCCAAATGGATGCTGTTTTGTAGTTCTACAGACATTGACTATTAGCAGTTCATAAATAAAGCTGTATTGTCTCAGTCTATATGTGTATACTGTTATTTCACACACGCTAAATGGAGGAATTATTTCTGATTTGAGTTACATTTTTGAAAGAATAAGCCAGTGAAGTAATCGATTTTGTTTTTTTCACATTTGTTTTCACAGTGACGAAGATGAGTATCAAATGGCTTCTGGATCACAGCCATCAACATCTGCCTCTTCCGAGCTACGACGTGCATCAGATCAGCATACAGTTGCCCCAGAGCCATCAACATCCAAGCTACGCCACTGGATGTCTGCACCAGTACTAACTCAGCCTCCCTCTGCATCTTCTGATTCAGTGGACAGACTATCAGGAGGAAAGTGAAACAGGCTGGTGTGTGGAAGACTAAGATTGTTACCGTTCCTGACACTGTGGTGGACTACAACAGAAGCATGGGCTGCGTGGATGTGTCCGATGCTTTGATTGGGTACTACAACGTTCACCACAAAACCATGAAATGGTACAAGACATTTTCTGGACATTGCAGTGGTGAACAGCTTCCTTCTCCACAAGGAGCTGCACAAGATGAGGGGTGACCCCGGCAGGACGAAGCCACACACCCAGAAGTCCTTCAGGGAGCAGCTTGCTGCAGACATGAGGAGTGAAGTCCCTGCAGCACCACCACCACTTCCCCCCCCCCCCCCCCCCATCATCACTCGTATGCATTCCCAAGTATTATGGGGAAGATGCCACCGCGCTCAGGAGGTGCTCTGATGCTGGCAACACAACGGTGAAGACCTATCTACTGCACTAAGTGCCTGGTGCCTCAATTCAAAAACACATTCAGTATGGTACCTGGAAAAAGGTCAAATGGCACTGATGGTATCCAAATGTGCCCAAAGGTCAGTCTTTTTTGCTAAACCTCTCTAAAAAAGGTCAAATTTCACTTGTTTTGCCTCAATCTTGCTACAGGGTACTTATTATGTTATACTTTGGATTCCTAAAGCTTTTACCATACCATCATTCAAGGGTGGTTTTCACTATTAGTAATGGGTTTTTTTTAGGCGGAGGTACAAATGTACCTTTTTTTACTATGTTCCATCTGAATTTACTTTGACACAAACATCTATATTGATTCTGACACTTCTACATCCAACTCACAGATGTAACCTTGCTTTGATAAAATAAATTATTGATATAACCCTTTTAGAAGTTAAGTTAGTCATTTGTTTTGGGCATAGCATTTTCAAGCCTGAAACCTGAAAAACAGGCTCAGGGCTTAACGCCTATGGGCGTTGTTTGTTTTTTTTACTGTCATTTTTTAAATGCTTTCATTGCCAAACTTGTTACAAATCCTGTTGGTGTTGAATAATCTTAACTTCCATGTGTGTACAAAAAGCTGGTGTGCCACTATGTTTATCAGGTTTGTAATATACCAAATAAACAGATGCTGCGTACCTGTGATGAGCACCTTGGGGTGGTCTGTTTCTGAGAAGGACACAGAGTGGAAGCTGGCATCAGACGTCACCTGGCGAGGGGAGAAGCTGATGTTGCGCACAGCCACCGTGAGGGGCTGGCAGCTGCACCCCGGGCTGCCAAGCAGGGTCTGCTTGACCACCTTACTGAGGGCTCTGAGGACAGGCATGCTGGTACCTGTGGAGGAAGGAAAAGTGTGTTTACGCTTAAATAGTGTCAACTGCCAGAGACACAAGTGAAATTCTTTCATGAGGTTTTTTTTTTTGGAGCTGTGAAATTCTCCTTTTCCCTTTTTCCTTTTAATAGCACATCTGTGTGGCCAAGGCATGAAGTTCTATGTCAAGAGATTTTTGGGCTTCTCTCCAGACCTCAGGGGCCAAGAGACAGACTGCTTACAGAAATGGCATTGAGGAGGTCGTTTACTTCATTTCAAATGCATCTGCGGCAAAATCAATGGAACATTGAAAACGGTCTGAGAGTTTGCAAAGCAGCAGGGAAGACACGTAAGCTTCAGTTAAATGCAAATGACATGCCATTTCCAAAGTGACGCAAAGGAGCTCTCGAGCGCATAGCAACCCAAACACTTGTTGCGTTTCACTCAGTCTGTTAACTTGTACACAACTTTATGAGAGACACCCGTCGATATTCATATATTTTTAGAAACGAACACGACTACAGAAAAGATGGAGAACTGTGTCAGCACATTGAAAGCAGTTCTCACAGTGCAGCCTCATAACTTTTAACGAGCAGAAGGTTTAATCGCATTATAAAGAAAGCTTCCTTTGTTTATCACCGATCTGTGCATTATTTTCACAAGTGTGCTTACCGAGAGTGCAGCGATCTTTCAAAAAAAGGAAAGAAGAGAGTAACATAATCTCTTAAAATAATATATCATGTAATAGATGAAAGGCTATTATTATGACACGGCAGATAAATGAACAGCCAAGGTTTCTGTTTTATATTCTACGCAAAAAACGCGATCTTTTTCTATCTTGGATGAAGTATTTCCCTTGCCACATCACCAAAAGCCAATTCACTGCGTTACAACCCCGGTTTTACGCCCATGCAGGAGGCGGGTTGTGTAATGTTCTTCGTCATGGTGGATCTATATGCAACATATGTCTTTAATGTGTTCCATAATTAAAGGGTTAATTAGCGTGGCTGCTTTTCCACGTGGGCAATGGTGGTGATGAACAGTCAAAGGAGCTTGAAGATCCTTTTCAATTAGTACAAATAACCAGCAAGCTTTCGCTTTCTTACTAGGCTATACGAAGTTAAGTATATTTTAAAATGTGTATCGGTGAGACACAGTGAGCCACTCGGACAGATTAAACCTGGTCATTGCACCGGAGTCAGTCTGTCTCTTGGCTCAATTAGCCTACACCAGTTTTACACTAGTAGTCTGAAATGAAGACATTATAAAGCATATAGAAGAAGTAGCCTACGTTCGTACAGAAAACACGTGGTTGGGGTGTTGAAATTAAATTAAGGATTGTATATATTCTTAAAAATGTCTCTAAACTAGAGCGGAGTAATACAAACGCGGGGCGGCGGACTAATACACGAAATGTAAGTGTTCTCACCGGTTATTCTTCTTCAGGAGGTAAACGGTAAAAACTCCTGAGTCGCTTTGTGAGGATGAGATGCTGTTTCCTCCTCTGAGCTGCAGTACTCTGACGTGATGCTCGTGTTATCTCCGGCCGGTGTTGCATCAGCTTCACTATATATCAGCGGCCATCTGGTTTCAGTGGGAGCCGGCTTTCTCTCGGATTGGCGGAGGCTCGGAGGTGCGGTCCTCCCTCACAAACCACACCCACTGAGAGTGACTGTCCCTCCGCTGACGACCCTGTCAGTGAGTTCATTCACAGAGCACCGTTTACGCGTTTCTCCAAAAACGGATTATACTCAGTGATTCTTGGTGTGTAGACTGGTCAGAAATGTCACATTTAGAGGATTTAAAAATGTTGAAAGAGTATGCTATACAGGGCAGTTTCTAGCTATTTGGGGGCCCTATGCAAGATGCTGTTTGGGGGCCCTACTTTTGACAGTTTTTTAACTACAATGGGGGGGATTCCGAAGCCTTTAAGATGATCTGTGGAGATTCATCAATCTGTTACACTTTAATAGGAAAACAGGCTAATTTCACGAAAACCAAGCAATTGAAAATTACAAAAAATGATATTAAAAAGGTAAACAATAAGGCTCCTCTATGTCAATAAATGCAAGAGATGCAGCATTTTCTCAGCTGTCAGCCCAAAGATGATTTGGACTTTATTACCCCAAAAACCCAAGCCACAGCTTTGCTATCATTGCAGTTTAGTCGTGTTTATATCCTACATTGGATTTGTAAGCATATAATACTTCACCGAACACTCACAGGAGGGGGCTTGGCTGTCTACAAATAAAGACGGCTCATTTTAATTCTCCCCAAATATATTGAGGCTGAACCTGAACTTTGAATTCTCTGCTCCCATCATAATCTTGGAGATCTTGTTAAAATTGTGAATGCAGAATTCAAAATACTATGTAACTGGTTTGCAGTTAATAAATTATCCCTTGTTATTCAATACAAAGTCTGAGAGTAGAAATGACTGCATTATACGGATTTGCAATACAGAGATAGAAAAAGTTGGTGCATGTACATTTTTAGGACTGCTTGTTGATGAAAAACTCAATTGGAAGCACTGTATAAATTATGTACAGACTAAACTGTCAAAAACAATAGGTATTTTGTATCATACTAAGAACATTCTTGAAGAAAATATACTCTTTATAACAGTCTATTTCTCCCTTACCTTTAATACTGCTCCGAAATATGGGGAAACACGTACTCAACAAATCTACAAAAAATAATAACATCCCAAAAAAAAGTATTACGAATAGTCTGTGGTGTTGGTAAATATGAACACACAACTCCCATATTTAAAAAAAACTCAATCTATTAAAATGTGTTGAGATAGTACAGCTTAAAACAGTACTGATTATGCACAACATTTTCCATAACAAAATGCCTAATAACATTCAAAAGCAGTTCCAAACCACAGCGTGAACATATGAATGTAAAAAAAGTCACTTGAAAATAAGTGTTCACAATGTTTATATGCAATTACGCATATATTATTATTATTATTATTATTATTAATTTGCCAAGTGCATGTGTACCTATGTATATATTTATATATAGTATTTTAATTTCCAAAACAAGATAGTTGAAACTGCTATTGACATGTGCAGAAAATGACCCTATATCTAGTTTTCATATATATATATATATGCATTTATTGTTTTCCTGCCCTAACTTTTATTTAATTTTTTCTCCTGTTTTCTTTATTTCTTTGTACTCCTTCATTTCTATACGTTTTTGACGCAATAATGCCGCTGTATTAGGATGATGCACGGGAGGGCTACTTTCTACAAGCTATGCTTCAGCCCTCCCGCTTCTACTAATTTTGTTCATCTTTGTGTGTATGAATTAAACTTTTTTTGTTTTTCGGATGAATAAAAAATATACATATACTTTCAGCTTGGGGGCCCCCTAGTGGCCGCGGGGGCCCTATGCCCCCGCATAGTCCGCATATAGGAAGAAACGGCCCTGATGCTATATATGGTATATTATAAACACGGCAATTTGTTGTTCTTTAAATTAGGTTTTGCTTTCAATTTTCTTTTTTTTATTGTTAAAAATGTCAAGATATAATTTTGTTGATTAGTTTGTTTGACAAGGACAGTGCATTTTAATAACATTTCTGAACATTTGGCCAGAAAGGCCAGAGATGATCGTTTCTATCATGAGTTTCAGGGGAAAAGTGTGATTTCTATGGGAAATATTTTATTTTCCAGAGAATAAAATATGTCTTTATCAGAAGCTTGTCCGGTTGTTATGAAAGACAAATCATTTAAAACCCACCTTTTTATGCGTACTGTCAAAGAAGGCTACAAGAAAACCAGCAAATATTCACATTTTACCGGCGGGGAATGTTGTTAGCTTCTGCTGCGCTAATGGATATAAGAAGCTGTTTCTACAATAATGTGGAGGGAGAGCTCTCCTGTCAGACTGAGAGGCACAGTGAGGTAAAGGACTCTGAGTGTTTAGATAGTTCACTTTAGTCTAAGTTGTCTCAGTGGGTCTCAAACGTTTTGATCACAATTTATGTAAACAAATATTTCCAAGGCACTCCTTTATAATTATTGGGATAAAACAGGTTTGAAATCATTCCAATGTATACTCAGTAAACCAAACATATCGTTTAAAACTGAAGAGATTTAAAAATATGTAAAATAAATAAATGTTAACTGATAAAATAAGATATAAATGATCCACAAAAATAAAACAAGTTAGCCTACATGTATTTGTTATTGGCTATGGTAGGTTATCGGTTATGTTCACATACTTATTTGATTATTAAAATGCAAACCGATCTTTTTCATATGGGTGTTTTAGAGTTGTATCCCCTAGATCAGTCTCTAGTAATTGTGTGCTCAAAGTGCACCAGATTGAAGCATTTTACTTTAAAATGTTAAAACAAATCTTCCCGGGGCACCCCCGGACCCCCCTAGAGGATGTGAAGTCCACCCCCCAATTAAAACATGTTCATGCAATACTAAATACATTTGAAGCCTTTTTATATAAGCTGTCCACCATGTCAATACGTTTCTCTGTTTGTAGTGTAGTGGTCTTTTGTAGAGGTTTTTCATTGCCAGCTAAAATCTTGCCTAGGGCAGCAAATTGGTCAAAACCGGCCCTGGTGTCATCCCCACAGCACCCCCCATTTGAAACATGTTCCCACAGCTATGCTAAGGGCTAAGTGCCTTACTCAAGGGCACACTAGTGGATTTGAACTCACAACCTTCCGATCTTCACCCCACCTCACTATCCATTAGACCACCACTATCCCATACAATAGTACGTATGTGTATCCAAATGTAGGTAAAACTATATACATTTCAAGTTTACCCTATTTTCCACTTGGAGCTGGACATTAATTCTACTCCCAAATGGCAATATGTTAAACTTGCATAAATGAAGATTATGAAACATTGTACAATTGCTTTAACAAAGCCTGAGATATAACTTTGGGATTTTGAATTTAAAGTGAAGTTTTGTTGGTTTGAAAGTGATTATTATACCTCTATGTCCGCTGTAGTCTAAGCAAAACCTCACTATAGTAGCCTACAGCAGAAGCGCATGTCCTTGAAAGCAGCAGGACGGTAACAGCAAGTAGGACAAAATTAGTTCACATGTCGACGTCTATAGTCAATATGTTAAACAAACATAGCTGCAATACACGTAAAGCTAAACTCTTTTATTTTTTTAACAGAATCATCAATATTCATGTTTATCAGGGGAAAGATATGACGTGCAGACAGTGTGTCTGACATTGACGTTTGTTTGCAGTAGATAGGAGAGGGACAAATTGTTGACAACATCTGAGCAGGGCGAGTAAAGGATGGCTTTAAATCTGTACTCGTCTGTGAGTGGTCGACGAGTGCACACACCCACGCCTGTAATCACTGAGCGGGAAAACAAGTCAATATGTAAACTGATATACTGGCGCTAAAATCAAAACCAGGTTTTCTTCAAATAAGATTGCTTCTATTTTCAAAAATCACTGACATATTAAGAAAAACTGATAACTGGGAGATTACACCTTTTTTTCTACTGTAGTGTACTAATAAACCATGTCTAACCCTGGCTGAGAATATCTGGTTAGCAAAGATACAAGATTTCCACTTGATACCCGAGTGATAGTACATAGCCTACTGTCGTCCTTTAAATTAGTGGGCAACAAACCCAAGGCCACATCAATAAGGAGAAGAGTGATGGTTGTACGTAAGCATTGTAAACACTGGCAGCCATCACATGCCTCCGTCAGTCAGCTGATCCGGGGCTATTTATTCTGCAGGCAGAGCATGGCAACATATTTTGTGAGGGAGGTGGGTTGCTGTTTACTAATCTTTGGACGAGCCACAAGGGGAAAGTGACCTGCCAATACATTGGAACTGCACGTGACACTAAGCAGGGGAATAGAATGAGACATTTAATAGATATGTTATGTAAAAATGCTGTAGTGTTTGGTATTTGACCAGTGGCGGTTCTAGACCAATTTGACTGGGGGGGCCAGTTATTTTCTGAGGGGGGCACAATAAATGCAGGGCGAAAAAGAGAACTAGACAGTATGAAGTAATTGCGCATAAGAAAACAATGCAATACAGTTATTGGTATTTGTTTCAGTACACTTATTTATTTCAGATAGATCTTATAGTTATTACTGTTAGCTTCAGCTTAAGTTATAGTGCAATGTAGGGCTGTGCAATTAATCGTATTTTAATCGCGATTACGATTATGGCTTGCGACGATTAGGAAAACAGCATAATTGACTAAATACGATTATTTTGCTGGGTGCGCTTTCGCCCCTCCCTAAAAGCCCACTCGGCCACGTGGGAGTGACATGTGTTGTGAGTGTTCAGCGCGAGCGAAGATGTCAGAACAAGAGCAGCAACTAGTTAAAAATAAGGGTCGCGGGGAGATTCCCAGTCGATCGTGAGATGTGTCTAAAAATAGAACAACAATATTCTGTTTTATCGTTAATGTCCTATAACATAATGTTCCCGTGCCAGAATAATGCACTTGAACGCATCAAAGCTTTGTGATTGGCCGGCCTCACCCATGTGTCGGGGCGTGGCTGGTGAGCAGTGCACTAGTTCGCTGACGTTGTCCGTGTCAACAGCATGGATGGTCAACAGGAGTGACAGTCCGCACACACACAAGACCGCAATTATGGCAGAAGCAAAAAAGCCCAAAATATATAATTTTCCCTCCGAGTGGGAGGATCATTATTTTTGTATCTATTCCAATTCAAAGTCCATCTGTCTCATCGAATGATGGCTTTATCGAAGAAGGGTAATTTAGGAGCGACATTTCAAAACAGTGCACAATCGCTACGAGACGGAATTCCCTCCTAATTCTGCCCTACGCTCCCAAAAGGGGAGGGGCCTGAAAGGACAGCTAAATGCACAGCAGTCCATTTCCACCAGGCCCAACAACAAGAGCAAGGCTGCTACCATAGCATCTTATCGTGTCAGTCACGTTCTTGCGAAACACATGAAGTCTTTCAAAGACGGCGAAGTTATGAAAGAAGCTTTCCTGGAGGCTGCGACACGCTTTTGTGGGACAGTAAAAATAACAGTAGCATTTCAACAGGTTTTTGATATAATAAAAACTCAATTTAGATACCGTTATTAATCTGCTGTAAGTTTTAGTTTGTTTGAACTTATTCATGATAATTATTGTACAAAATGGTATAAGAATGCAAACATTAAGATCTGTTCTGTTTAAATTGATTATAGTCTGTTATCAGTTCAGAAACTAGTGTTGCTTGCATCCTATTTTAAAGGCATTTCTTTTTATACTCTAATAAAATGCAACAAAAAATGGGTTTGATTATATTAATGTTGTCTTTTTTATTGCACTGTTGCAGCAGATTACTGTGTAGCTTCAGATCTGAGTTGTCTTATTAGTAAGCCTCATTTACACTTTTGTAGCAACACTATTTTTATATAATGGCAAAGAAAGGGTTCAGAGTCTTTCCTTTTGTCCTGTGTCATATGTGACAGCACTGCCACAAGTTCCTCTTCAGAGAGGGTCTTCAGTACAGGTGGCAATATTGTCACCTGCCTGCGCTCATCTCTGAAACCAGACCATGTAAACAGGCTGGTGTTTCTTGCAAAAAATCTTTAAGAGATGACATGAGCAGCCCTACCAGCATTTGTCATGGTGGCCAAAACATTTTTATTTGGTCTTAAATTGTAGTTCAACATTTATTTCCTGTTACTTCTGGACCATGACGGTTGGCCAGCCTTCAACGTTTAACTGAGTGGAATATGTTGAATATGTTTTACCAAAATGTTGGCTATATGTTAAGGAGTTTTCAGTAGGTTGTGACAGTGCACTGCAACATGTTTGATTTCATTTATTTTTTCTAATTTTTTTTTATTTATCATATTAATATATGTTTAGTATGGTTTTGGAAGTGCGCTCCAACACATTTATTGATCTTGTTTATTGGTAAAATATTATTTGTTTTAAAGTTCAATAAATGGTCAATGAATAATCGTCAAAATAATCGTGATATCAATTATTGACCCAAATAATCGTGATTATGATTTTTGCCATAATCGCACAGCCCTAGTGCAATGTTTGCACTAACACCATATTTATATAAAAAATAAAGGCAATGAACAGTTACATCTCTACTTTACATAAGGGTGTCTGCACAATCTCACATTACAGCAACAAAATCCTGCGGTTTTTGGCAAACCGAGTACCAGAAAATATACATTTAAAAAAAAAAAAAAAAAAAACTTTTCATTGTTAGGGGGGCCACAGGTCAGTGTTAGGGGGGTCAGAGGTCAGTGTTAGGGGGGCACTGCCCCCCCCTAGAACCGCCCCTGTATTTGACCAATAAAACGTCATTTAGTCACCATATAGAGTTGTAATGATTAAGGTATATCTAAGTTCAATTGCTGCTAAATGTTCCACTTGCTAACTAAGCACAAATATAGTAAAAATACTTCAATAATAAAATAATCAAACATGTTGTTGAGCTATAATGTTTAATGGCTTGAAAACTTGAAAAAAACATTTAATCTTTTAAACAATAATATAGTTTTACAAACAACTGATCAGCAGTAATACAATTACTTATTTTTTGTTCTGATTTAGCAGTAAGGCATTGCACAAACACAGTAGAGTTTAGTTGCAAAGCTACAATCAATAAACAATAACATTATTCACATTGGCAAGCATAGGAAATGTGTAAACGTGTAAATCTAACCATTAGCTTGACTTAATGGTTCCACTCATACACACCAAAGCAATGGAAGGTGTTCTCTGTTTCTGGCAGAAGGAAAACATGCAGCTTTAAACAACGTTCCCTTTACAAAGCAGCTTAATGTAGTGGCTGGAATCGGTTGTGTTTAGTGTGAATATAAAATCATTCTTAAAGCAAAATAGATGAAAAGTATGAAGATGAGATGACCACCAGCAGAGAAAAATATATATCTTACTGGCAAAACAAACACAGTTGGCCAACCACTGTGGATTTGTAACCTAAGAACAGCCATTTTTTGTATTTAAAGTGCAGCAAAAAGCTTTCTTCTTAGTCTAATGCTAAGGAGGCTACCTTCACCCATGGGCAGCATTGAAAGACGAGCTGTAATGTAACTTTGCAGACACAAATTATTTGTTGAGAAAATGATCACTTGGATAAAGCCTTGATATCTGCTACAGTTTGACATCATTTAGATATATTGGCATGTTTTTTTGTAATGTATTATAATAAAAATACATATACTTTCTAATGTGTTCAACTGGTACTGACAAGCTGACAACAAAAAGTATGCTCATTACAAGAAATATATTATATTTTCCTAATTATTGATGAGGCCTTTAACACAAATGACATTAGTTATGAACTAAAAACAGCTGATACGCTTTTAGTTTGAGAATGTACTTGAAAGCAACAATTACAACATAACTTCAATAACCAAAATGTAGATTGGTCTTTAAAGTGATATATGAAATTAAAATAATATTTTAAACCTCCATCAGCTCTGTTAAGTCTTGCTTATATTCATTTGACCAACATGGCCAGCATCACTGTGGCAACAAGACCTTTCATTTCTGCATCAATGTCAAACACATTTGACTAATATTACACAGTTTGAAAAAATGCTAAATGTGTATAAGCTTGTGTTAAATAAGTCTTTCTCAATGCCTCCAGCTGTGCTCCTCACTGGAATGTCACGTAATGACCATATAACTACACAAGATATTTTGGTCAGATCCTTATTAACATACAGTAGAGTAGGCGCTGACCCTTCCTACGCTTATTATATCATCTCATCGTGCAGCAGTCACATGCCGTCTTATAGCACCCTATATGTTGCCATAGTTACTCTGCAGTGCTTTAGTGGAATATACATTCAGCAGGATGTTTGGTGAAAACGAGTACCCTGTAGTAAATTAATGAACAACAACAATGCCCAGAAATTCCTCGGAATGATCAGTTATTTTCTGCACACACAGCTGTGCACTAATTCTTCAGTGAAGGTAGTTTCATTGTCATTAATCTTACTATGTTTTTAAATCATTTAGGTAATGAGATGCCAAAAAGGGAAACAAATATGCCTTTACAAATGTCCAAGACCTCAAGATGACTTCTAATTGCCTGACCGACGGATAATACATTTACAGTGATTCATGACATGGAAAAGCAGCGAATTCGGACATTTTAGAAAGTGTAACCAGGAAATGTTTGCCGTATTGTCTTCAAATATTACTGAAATGTTTATTTTTTTATAACTTAACAGCTTTCAATTATTTTTTGGATGATTGACTGATTGGTTTATAGACTAATTGTTTCAATTTATTTAAGGGGACTCTGAGATTATGTGATTTTTGTTTCTGTGTCTCACTCCGGCTTAACTTAAATGACAATACATGGTTAAATTAGCGTTAAATTGACGCTTTATGAATGTAATGCTTTAGGGCACTATTTCAGTCTATTCCGTTATGTAAACTGGGTGACATAAGATTATTGCACGAGTGGAAAATCTTAATTTGTGTTTAAGGCCATTCCTTTACATTTTTCATCTGTTAGGAAACCAAAATGTGCCATCATCAATCATGCACACATTCTCCTAGATATAATGGTTTGACTTGTATACTCTCAAACATGTGAAAATAATGGCCTGTTATCTGTTTAGTTATATTTTCACATTTTCTACCTCGTTCTCCCTTCTCGCTCCTCTCCCCTCCCTCCCTCCCTCCCTCTCTCCTCCTCTCTAAGGCGTCTGCAGCAGAGGGTCCTCCGTCTCCAGCTGGGCCAGCTGCCTGCGCAAGCTGTTCACTTTGTTCTGGAGCTCCTTGTTGTATTCAATGATATGAACCATCTCCTCATAGGCCTCGTCCAAACACTTGGAGGAGCGGTTCCAACGAAGAAACACTCCTGCGACACAAGAAATGAGAGCACAGTGAATTATCTATGAAGTATTTATAAAGTACAACATGTATAACAAGGAAGTGGTGTCTCTTTTCCCTGTAATGCTCAAACAACACTACGAGTCTACAGTTTTGCTAGCGGCTATTTGAGTGCTTTGAGTTAGATGGATACAGAACCATTTACCATCATAGTTTAGCATTATTGAACCGAGAATAATAAACACAAAATGCTCAAAATGCTGTAGTATGCTGGAAGCATGTCTTAACTAGAGGGAACATCCTGATATCTTTATGAAACTGTATCCATTGAAATCAAATCATGTCACAATAGCTTTTCTAGAAGTGCAATAAATAGAGCTTTCATGTTGAGTCAAGTTTGCAGGAAATGTTGTGAAATGATGAAATCCAAGAACTCCTTTGCTGTCAAAATAGATGATCGTCAAATAGTGTAAAACTCACTGTGAATCCATATGGCTAAGAAATCACTTATTTTTGCGAATAATTTTGTCATTTTATTCATTTAAATTTTGTAAAAATAGAAAAGAAAAGTATTTGTCTCAATTGTTTGACTGGTGGATTAGATTCCAGATTAGTAGAAGTAGAATACACATATTATAACATGAAATTGGGGCAGGGTACTGGAGCTCAATGTGTACATTTCTGGAACAAACATTACTGAAATGATTTAACCATCCCTGTTTCTGAAATGCTAGGCAAAGACACGACAGTGAGCCAACATGGACGACACATCTAATCATAGCTCCAGTCCCTCTTTGTGTCAACTAGAAGAGCTACAGATATGGACGTCCATGGGGGCTTTTTGGTTGGCCCCTGAGTGTGCGTCACTCTCAAAGGCTCACATAAGCCGGGTGTCTGTTGAATTTCACGTGCTTGAGTTGTTCTCATACTTCATATAGAATCAGGGGCTGAGGCTTTAAGCAGAAAGGGGGCCCCTCCAACAGGTTCGCCTGAACCTAGTAACCCCTCCTCTTTCATACACCCCCCCCCCCCCACACTGCTATTCTTTATGAATGGTGTCTGCTTTGAGCTGATGAGTCAGCAAATTGAAAATAGACTGCACTGGGACTTTTTGGAGTTAATTTAACTGAACCCACAATTATTGTAATCTACGTAATCCCTTTGAAGTTCCAAAGAAAAGGTAATCATTAAGTTTGTGTTTGGAAAACCCCTATCACATTCTAAACTAAAGCTCACTATAGGGACAGTTCCGCGAAATAAAAATAAAAAAAGCGCTTTCGTTTTACCTGTCGGGCTATTTATTCATCAAGACTGTTTTTGGTGTGAGTTGCCGATTGTTAGCTATACTTGAGACATCTCCATCCTTTAGGAACTTCCACTGTCCATCTTAAATAAAGCAACTTAGAAAGCAATGATACTAACTTATTCAGACTTTTTTTAAATGTGTGTTGTGTGTAATGGATTCATTGAATATCCCAGAATTCATGACATGTTGGGAAAGCAGTGGATACTCAAGTCGACCATAAATCACTAGAAACAAATCTGAAATTACATTACATTACATTACATTTAGCTGACGCTTTTATCCAAAGCGACTTACAATAAGTGAAATCTGTAATGAGTGTAGGATGAACAAGCGGCGTGATATAATCTCATTCTCACTGTGTTTTGTATGGAGGTTAGTTTAAGGCTTAAGGGCACTAAGAGAGAAAAGAGCAGTATATGCATACACTTCGCCCACGCAGAAGCATAATGAAACCTCACTGTTTCACTGCTGGCTCCATCATTTGGTGCATTGAAACACAACATTTATTTTAATTAAAAAGGTGGCAAAAGTATTTTGCATAATTGAAATGAAGTTCAGAGCATAAACCAAAAACCTGTCCCTCAAATAAAACAAAAATAAGTTGACATTGTTGTTTTGTTTGAGGACAAAATATAGAGGTGTGCCACAGAACTAAAATTAGCATGCACATGAATGCTCACTGCTAACTTGTAGTAAAACGCAACTGCTCAGGTGCCAGTGAGGACACCTTCTGTGCGACCTATAATAAGACAAACATGGCGGGCAAACACGTCAACGAGGTGCCTGCGAAGCTATCTGAGCAATGTCCAAAATGTTAAGGTCTCGAGAGCCAAACGAGAGGGTCATGTGAGCCAAAAGGCCACATGCCACATGTGATAGTTCAGGAGCCAAGGTGGATGTTCACTGCTGGAAGGTTAAAAACAGCTCGCACAGTATTTCAGACTAAAAACATTTACTTATTTTATTATACCTGTGTGCTGAACAATATTAAATATTAATATCCAGAGAGGGAGTGGTGAGTCGGAAGGTCATCTAATTGGATAAGTATTATACAAAAAAACTAAGAAGAATTTACAAGATTGAAAACTCTAATATTAATAACAATAATTTGTTATTTGTTTACGTTTTTGAAAAGAAAATGAAAATCGGTAATACGGTAAAAAAGATTATGAATGTTAAGTTTGTACAGCAGTGTGGATTTCCTTTGTGACTTTTGGATATGGTTGTATATGATAATGATATACAATAACATACCATATTGCCTACTTTTTTTTAAGCAGCTAAGCTTGCTTTGGTTTTCACTTCTTCAAAAGTAGTGATTTTTGTATCTATTATTATTCTCTATGTATAAGTTACATAAATTGAAAACGTCCCAAAAAAAACAAAACTTAAACACTGTTTATTGTTGCTTTGACAAATCTGCCATTAACATAAAAATATTTGCACAGCTGTAATTATGTCTTCAACATAGGGCCCAAAGTAAATGGGACATGTATGTATGCTGCAGCATGTAACAGTGGTGAAACCATCGACTAGGGTGAAACCAATAGCTCTCCCTTGTGGTGGGATTACAGAAGGCCTGCCTGAGGGGAAAAAAGTAATCATAGATGAGACTAAGGAGAATTTAGGGCAGATTATCTGTAGTTTTTCCCAGCTGTATTCACACTAACTGTAAACAATGTTAAGATCTGTGATATATTGGGGTATCTGTCTCCTACCTTCCCACAGCAGCAGGCTCTGGGGGGCCACAGAGGGCCAGATGACCAGGCTGTTGGCCTCGTAGAGCGGGTTGGTCAGACGCTCCAGCTCCTGGGGCCGGTTCACCCAGGACCAGAGGGACACGGTCTTCTCAGGCAGAGACAGTTTGGCTCTATGGAAAGGATGAGAGGATGTTAGGTGTTGCAACAGATTGTAAAAACTGGGCTTGAAATCTGTACAATTACATATTCCGCGATGAAAAAGTTAAATATCTTAAAAGGAACAAGATATTACAAGGAACAAAAGTCACATAATCCACAACTGTGTAGCTGCTTAGAGATCCATAATATGGAATAAAGGCTACATAAAATATGTGATGCTTTGTTACATGAAATTAAGTGAAACCACACTTTACAAACATACTGCAAAAAGCTTTATGGACACTTTTTATACATTTTCAGGTCTAGCATTAAATAAGGCATACGTGTACCTGGCAAAACAAAATCAATAAGCTAATGGCCGACGTAAGCTGGTGGAGCAACCTCACCAGACTCCAGACTCACCTCTCAGCCGTGCTGTTGCCCAGGAAGGTGCCAAACTGAGAGGCATAAGAGTGTTCGAACACCAGCACCAGGAAGCTCTCGCTGAATTCGAATGAGCACGGAAACTGGCGCAGGATCTGCCACACGCAGTCCAGGAAGAGCAGGAACACCGGAGCCTCCTGGCGTGGCTTGCTGTTGGAGTAGGCCGACTGAGCGCAGCGCTGCTGGAACGGGTGACCCGCCTGGGACGGACAGTAAATAGGTTAGAGGTGAGGAGAAGGGGTGCAAAGACCACACCCAAAATGCTTACTTGATTAAGGTGCAAATGTTTCTGTAACCCTATTTGTGCCCATATTGTTTATTGTATAACCGTTGTATGAATAACAATTTGTATATAAGAACGGTGTGTATTTTCAAGCATTTAAGATGACTTTCCTTATAAATCTCAGTAATTTAAAGATCACCTATTATGCAAAATCCACTTTTTCACATCTTTTATACATCAACATGTGTCCCCCTCTGTGTAAAGAGATTCTGGAAATTTCAGGAAAAAAGATTCTCTCTCTTTTTGTCCTTATCCATTTATATAAAAACCTGTCTGAAAAGGAGCTGATCAGATTTTGGCCACTTTATGATGTCATAACGATTTTTGGCACTTATTTTCATCTAAAGTAAAAGACAGAGAATCAGCACTTTTGAAACAGGGCTGAAACTGTTTGGTGTTTTGAGCCAAACAGTTCAGAGACATGTTTGTATACATCTGAGACCTATAACATATTGATGAAAAACAGTATAATAGGGGACCTTTAATACATCATAAAGGTGATAAATATTTGGGCGGAGGTTCCATGAGTGTACCTGGAGCCACTCTCGCTCCACTAGGCTCTGGAAGCCTCTGATGGTCCTGCAGGCTGGATCCAGGATGATCTGAGCCAAAGAGGTGACCTGCAGGGTGGAGTCGGCCCCCTCTGTGCCGTGAACCAGCACTGACGCCCCCCTCCCTGAGACACACACACACACGTGAGTCAGTATGAACAAAGAAGACTTATTGTGAAACATATTACTGGTTTATTAGTATAAAAAGCAGATGAAACATTGTTCCCTGACCTATCGATGCACTGAGCAGCCAGGCAGGCGGTGGTGAGGATCTCCTTCACGTGGGTCTGCCAGTTGGAAGCCTCTAGTTTGCTCAGCCAGCGGTCCATACTGTGCGACTGGTCGTTACACGCCTCCACCAGCTTTATCAGGCTCTCTTGGAGAACGTTAGATCTGCAAATGAAACATTAGTCGCAAAGTTCAAATAAATGACTGATGTTTATTTTTGAGGTTTGGTCTGAAGTGAAGGTCTTTCTATTGACTCATTTAATCGCTGTTGAAAAAAAGAAATATTGAATACCAAAAACTTTGATTAAATAATATATATTTTAATATCAGTTTTCGAATGTTGAAAAACTTGATTTTTACAAATGGTATCAGTATGCAATGGTGTTAGTACACACATTTATTTTTAGAAAAGTAGCTAAATTCTTAAAATAAATTGTAGACATATTGAGTTACAAGTTAAAGTCCGGCATGCAAAATCTACTTGAAGTAGAAGAACAAAAGCATTGGCATCCAAACAAACTAAGCAACTGGAAGGTCACCAGTTCAAGTCCCAAGGCAAGACCAAGTGCTACCGAGGTGTCCCTGAGCAAGGCACCGTTCCCTACACTGCTCCCCGGGCGCCGTTCAAAATGGCTCCTAACACAGGATGGGTCAAATGCAGAGAAACAATTTCCCCACGGGGATTAATAAAGTATATAAAATATCAAATAAGCAAGTAAAAGTACTCCTTATGGGTAATAGCTAATTCCATAATCATATTAAATGACTGGATTATGACTATTACTGCATTAATGCACAGCTGATGAGAGTGCAGCACATTTTAATTACTTTATTTACCGCTGCTGAATATCTTAACTTTACTTATATATCATACTATGTTTATTAATAAAGTGTATTTTGTAAAAGCTAAAAATCTAAATCTGGCTTCCAAAGCATAGTGGAATAGAAGTATTAAGTAGCATAAATAGAAATGGAAATACTTACTTAAGTATCTCAAAGTTATACTTAAATAATCGTACTTTGTTACATCATCCCTGTCAGTATCACATTCCATTCAAACACAGTAGCTTGTAGAACTCTGCACAAATATTATTCATCACTTTATGGATCAAATGGAGCCCTTAATTGCCGCTCACCTTTCGACCGCCTTGTGAATCCTCCTCCACTGGGGGTAGTTCGCCTCGGACTCAATCCCTCCACCTCGAGCTTTGGCCTGCTGGGCCACGTTAATTGTGCGCGTATCAATGATGTAGCCACGTTTGCCCGGCCGCAGGGTGGCATTGATCAGCTTCTCGTCTTCCTTACACCTCCGCCCGTTGGTGCCTGTCAGAGGCTGCCCTGAACGCATCATCACCTGAAAGTAGATTCCGTACAATTAAAACTAAAACATGCCAAAATAAATCCACACTTTTCTCACAGCAGAAATCATAAAAACGCAATTCCCCAGGTGCTCACCATGCCATTCTTTTTGTGGTAGTAGCTCAGTACTGGGAAACGGCCACCGTGACGGAAGCTAGCTACTTTCCTCAGCGTGTCGTCATCAATATCTTTGGGCACTGCCACCAGAGGAGGGTACGATGGACACACAATGAAGTCCTTGTTGACTTCACTCAGTCTCCACTCATCTGTCTGTTAAGAGGAATGGTGACAATGTAAAAGACAGATGTTGGGTACAAAAGATGACTTGAAGAATATTAAGTGTGAACATGTTTGCCACTAATCAAGTCCATACCATCGTCTCCAAATCTTTAAAGGCATCCAGGGGAAGAAATGACTTCCAGCCGTCTTCTATGACTTCAAACATGGGCCGGTAGAAGAAAGGGTACATCAGGGAGAGTATATCAAGCGTGGACAGAGCCTAGAGAGGAGTAAAGGATGTGTTTCAGTTGAACACATTCAGAATTGACATCAAAAAAAGGTAAAAGTGAATATTTTGCCGTTGTGTTTCTTTACCTCAATAGAGTTGGCAATGTTGAGACACTCCTCCATGCCAGGGATGTCGAGCTGGATCACCCTCAGGTCTTTGCATTTGACTATGATGGTTCCCAGAGACCCTACAAATCTAATAGGGAAGTCGGAAGATTTGATTAAAAACATGAACTTCAAAATGAAGCGAAAAAGGACAAAATGTCCCCGAATAAAACACTGTAGAGGTTGGGGTTCCTCCTGGAACTTAAATCTATTCTGTACCTAAAGATTTGTGTGCTTTAAGTAATACTCCAATCTAAATTCAACCAAGGCTCAGACCTCAGCGCTATAGTTTGCCCCTTGAAATTGCTCCTATAGTTATGTTGGGGATATAGAGGAGTTTTTTTGTTTGAGATTCTTAACAGCTTAAGTTTAATTCTTAATCTCTTGCACTTTTTCCCTCATACAAAATCAACTCTCAACCACCGGAACCCGAGTGTACGCCAACATTGCAGTGACAAGATACACTCAGATTGAAACTTCTGGCACAGCAGTTTCAGATCCTCTTTCCACTTCAAAAGTAGATAAAAGTAGAGCATAACGCTAAAAGAGAAGGAAAACAAATGCAGTGAAATGCCCTTATTTGTTGCATGGAATAACAGAGTCGCATTGAATTGTTTTTTTGGGGTGCTTTCACAGCCGGATGTTTTTCTGAAAATAGTTTCCAGGTGACCTAGATGAGTGTTCACAATGGTGTTATAAAGAGGTCAAACAATGATACAAAATGCACTGCACAACACAAACCTTTTCATGTGTCTTTTTAACATAACTAATGAAACTCTAGTGTGAGCATTACATTGCCTGAATTACAAATTAGGAAAAAGGTGTAAAATACCCAAAACAGTTATAAAAAGATCACCTTTTCTCTATGCAGTCAATGTTTGAGTGAAGCAGCCACAGCTCTTCTGTGTTGTCCTGTCTGGAGGAGAGAATCAGGTGATGGCCAGTCAAACACAGAGTTCCCTCCACAGTGGGCATAAAAGGCCGATGTAAGACCACCCCGTCCACCCTGGGGGTCTTAATCAGCTCTGCAAACTCCATGATCTGACCTGAAGAAACGACAGCAGACACAGCAGAAACAAGATGATGGTTTTCAAAGCATACTGACATTAGTTAACGTCACTACTGCTGAGACAAGCTAACGTTAGCCCAGCTGTGTTGCTTCTAAATAAACACATCATGTAAGTCCATTAACATTACATGATTTAATGCGGCAATAACATGTCAGCTAGCTCAAGTTAGCTAGACTCAGGAAATGAAGTGGCTAACCTTAGTTAGCTAGCTAGCTGTGTCACACCGTATACATCGTCCGACATGTTTATATTCACTTCGAAATTACAACATTACACACACTTTCAGTGTACAGTGAAACAATTTACGTGTTTCGTTTAAGATAAAATGATTAATCGCACAATTACCTGAATCTCGTTCGTTATATTTGTGAATGGGCGAGACTGGTACGTTCACATAAACAAGCCGACAGGAAACAACTGACTTGTGACACTCAGGATAATCTGCATACAGTAGCAGATCCCCATATTATTCTTTATAAAATAATAATAATAATACTTTGTGGATCCCAGTCACTTTGGATATCAACGGTACTGTTAAATACGCGTTTATATACCCAATTCTGGACTAAATGGGACCAAAAATATGCAATAAAATCAAAATGTCAATGTATGTAGGTAGGTATGTAACGGTTATACTCAATTCATCCTGGTAGTCGAGTCTAAATTGCCCATAGAATTTGAAGTTAAAGAGTTGAGTATTTGTCATTAAATCATCTCGTAGATTAGTAAATAGCTGTACTTAGTTACTCTGTTAAGGGAAATATAGGTATGTAATGGAATTATTTGAAGAACAACATATTTCCTCCATGGCACTAAAGTCTCAAGTTCTGTTGTTTATATGAAGCTGCTTTTACATTTTAGGCTCATCCATGTTTTCCTCCCCAGCTGTTAAAACCCCTAGCAATATTAAAAAAGGACACAAGGTGGTGACATTGAACAATCTTGAGAGATTCATAGTGTTAAAGGACTGATCTGAATGTCCCCATAATTCAATAACACCAGGATATCTGAACGGTTCATCTGCATGAGAAATACCCCCCAGATATCAAAGCAGACTCTTCAGGCAAACTGAATGATTTAAAAGCTCTTGGTTGGTCAGACAGGCCGCCCGCATGATGACAGTGACCTATCGGTAACTATTGGGAAGCAGCAAACCTGGCAGTCCAAATTTAATTAAATCAGGTTCATAAAAGGATTGGGCACTGGTAGGCAAACATATCATGGCCACAGACAAAAATGAATAAACAACAAATGACCAATTACAGTATTTTTACAATGTTACTAGACCAGCAATTGCAAAGCAGCATGGAGAAGGTAACATCTGAGAGGGAGATTACAAAGATGTAAGCCTCCTTGCATGGCTTGGGAAACGGCATTAAATGTCAGATACAAAAATATTTTAACTGTAAATCTCATGTTAAGATATCTGTAAAATCAGTCCAATGATACAAGACCATTTTCAGCTCTTTACAAAGCAGTTCCAGGCAGAAAGGTGGTGTAGGGGTTACATCAATCCCTTGGTGGATATAGCAGAGTATACAGCTTGGTGAAGATGAGGGTGTGGTACCCTGAAAAAAGGACTTACCTTGTAATTTCTGTATTAATCTAAAGTAAAATAGAAAGCTACGCCCACTCCTAAAAAGATTGAGTTTGAGTCTATTTGAAGATCATAGGAGAGCCGGCTTCCCTAATAGCAGCTGGGAGTTTATTTGTGAGAAAAAAGTTGTTGCCTGAGGATGTTGTCTGTAGTTCTTAGCAGAGTGAGGAGGCCTGGATGCTGAGATCTTAACGCTCACACAACCCTTGGATGGGAGACTCCCTGAAGGGGGTAGCACTTTTGGAGAGAGAAGAAGAAAAAGAGCAGATGGCTTGGGCTTGTTTCAGACACATCTGTGTGTGTGTGTGTGTGTGTGTGTGTGTGTGTGTGTGTGTGTGTGTGTGTGTGTGTGTGTGTGTGTGTGTGTGTGTGTGTGTGTGTGTGTGTGTGTGTGTGTGTGTGTGTGTGTGTGTGTGAGTAATGCATTGCAAAGCAGTGCAGTATTTGCTTCAGTTGCAGCCTGTCTGCGCTTCACAATAGATGACGCCTGAGCTCAATTGAAAATGAAACCCGACGTTGCTTTACAAACCAAATAGCTGCCCTTCCTCTGAGGAAAAGTTGCTTCGCTGTGGCTTTTTAAAAAAGGAAGATGCGCTGATAAAAAAAAAAGGTGCTTTCATAGCAAATATTCACTTCAGCCTTACGCAGGACACAATAGAGTAACCCAACCTCTATGTTTTATTTAACAGGGTGCTAAAACAAATATGTCTGTGCAGGAGGAGATGATTTACTTATAAAGGCTTCAGTGATAAAATGTTAACTTTCATGTCAGCAGATGAATGTTTAGAGATAACTCTTCACAGCTCTCACTGCCTTGGAGGAATTCAAGGAAAATCTTAATAATCTTGTCCAACACGAATCTACATGTTCCATTAAAAGTATATTCATAGATCTGGTGGAGTAACTACAACATGTCACACTGATCATGATGTTATCTCTGAGTTTCCACATTTGAATGCTCGCTTACATCACACAGATCAGATGTTGACATATTTGACGAGCATTTAGGAACATCATCCAGCACATTTTAAGGATTGGCAGCTTGAGCCCACACACCGAAACCATTACTCACCCATGCTTTTCATCATGTTTCTTGTAGAGACAATGTCTCATTCAACCTTCTGTTGTGGATGGTTTGCTTAATGTTCATTCTCTTACATAGTGCGATGTTATTTCGGGCATGTCCAGTGAATCAGAGAAGTCTGTCACCGCGGAAGATGACATAAATGTGGGTTTGGAGTCTAATTCCAAAATGTGTTGCGTAGGCTCTCTGAGAAACATCCTTTATTTCTTTAATTAAAGCTCCATCAAGTGTTCACAAATGGTATTATGTATCTTCCAAGTAGGCTATTTCTATTATATGTACAGCACTTTGGCTCGACCAAAAATCGTTTATAAATGTGTTATATAAATAAAACTTGATTTGATTTGATTCCAAATAGTACATTTATTTTTTGTTCAGATTTTTATTTGAATAGAGCTGTATTGGCTATGGTACTGATTGTACTTGTTGTGGTTTACAGTATATATTTAAATTACAGCTTGGCTAGGTTTGTTCAGCGTTGTTTGTGTCACAGAAAGAGTTTTTTATTGAGACATTTACAGCTACTCTTATCACTTCTCAAAAATACTGTGAAAAAGCTCCCAATAGATGTTTTTGATGTTCTCATTAATATGAAGCACATGTAGCGCCTTCCACAGACGTGCTGCTGTAAACCTTGTAAGCATGACAGCTGTTTTTCAATTTTCATTTCCTTTTTCATTTCATTTTTTTCTTATTTTAAACACCGGCAATATCATGATCCAAAGTTTTTAAAAGAATCAATGAATCTATTGTATTTATTTAGCCCACAAATGATGTATTTAATTGACAAACGTTTTTTGGATGGATGTATCGATCATCTTCCTCATTTTAGCCTCTTAGGTTTTTTTTTTTACTCCTGCCTCATCTAATGTGTGCTTCTGCATTTGCCCTGCTAATGTTTGTTTGTGGCCCTCTAAGGCGGTTTGTGACAACTTGCTTAAAAAGTGCTTTATAATTTGAGTTGATGTCAACTGATTTGATTTTCTTTCATCGCTGCGAGGCCCATGCTGTGGATATTAGATCTAAGTGTGCTGCACAGAAGGCATTGAGGAGGCCTAACTGATCTGAACAATTATCTTGCGTGCATTCGATCACATTTTAGGATTGTTTTCCTCCGGTATCTTCCCGGGAGGAACAGCTACACCCTTATTATTGTCTTGCTGCTCACAGTGACTTTTGAAACATTTAAGAAACAAAGCTCTTTCCTCTTCCACTGCTTACCACCCTTGATAGAAATGAAAGTAAGAGATGTGACATAGCATGTTTGTAGATGTTGGTAATTTCTGCAGGAAATCGGTAATCATTTTGATAGAAAAACTAGATTCAGTGTAGCTCCAAACGAGTGTTAAAGGTATTGTAATTTAACAAGAAAACATATGGGTGATTTGATGTGAAAACCAGAGAACTGGTCCAATGAACCCAATGAGAAATAATGAAGTGACTTAATGTAGCTCTGGGCTCCTCCTCACTGGTCCAATAGCATTTCTTACCCTGGCAGTTCACACCAAGAGAGAGAAGCCTGCAGCTATTCATGCTTTACCTCTCTGTAATGTGTTGACATTTCGCTCCAATGTGATATGTCATTACTCACAAGACCAGCAGAGGTGAACATGTTGATAATGTTAGGAACTCAAAAAAAGATTGTGGTTTATTATTCTTCTCTTGGATATTTGAGCTTCACCGAATGATGGGTTAGCACATTCAACTGCGGATTTATATTTCAAAAAAATATTTGCATATTTATAGATTTTATAAAGCATTGGTGGAGTGAGGGAAGAGGAGTTGGTGTCATTTTTGTTACAAAGGAAATCATACTTTTTGTAGTAAAAAATACACACACGTCTTTCTGTATAACATATTTTGTTAAATAATTTTTAGATGAATACAAACAAGAACACTTTGTAGAAAAGTAAAGTGCCATAAATAGCTATATATAAACGTATATATGGATATATATAAACATATATGGAGGCGTGTGGCACAGTGGAATAGTGCGTTGGTGTTCGGACCAAGGGAGCACAGGTTCAAACCCCACTGCAGTCAGCATGTCGTTGTGTCCCTGGGCAAGACACTTCACCCCAAATTGCTCCTGTGGGGATTGCCCACAGTATGTAAGTCGCTTTGGATAAAAGCGTCTAACAAGTAACATGTAATGTAATATAATCAATTGAAATGCATACAATTCTTAATCCAGGCATTTTGTTGGTTTATGGTGGCATGATTACTGTAGTATACTTGATTAAAGACATTTTAGTTACAGTCTTCACATACATTTGGATTGGAATTAATGTGGGTGACCAAATGAATCCGACTCAAGTTAACAATATTATCACAATAAACCTTAAGGTTGTGGGTTGGGGTGTTTCTGGTCAACTTTAATTGTATAAAACAAATGTGTCAGTCACTCTGATTATGATTAAGAAATTATCCTGTGCTTTTTAACACTGTTTTAATCTTTCCATTGTCTTGGGTTCAGCACTGCTTCAGCACCGGACAGCTCACATCAAATCCTGCATCTGAGCAGGAGAGCAGAGCAGTGGGGGGGCGGACATGATCCAATCACTCTCACACTGGATGTGACCCTGCATGGCAGCTCAGTGGGCTCCGTCTAATCACTGTGTTGTTGAGCCTGCAGTGGACTTACTTTACTTTCAAATGCAACCCGAGGGGAAAATGTCACTTACAGCACACCCTTAAAGCGTGCTGAAAAAATGCTGCGGAAAAAGAGGGAAAACCCAGCATGTCTCTATAGCAACCATCGATGGATTCACCTATAGATCCATTTTTTACCCAGAGGACTTGTAGAAGCCTCCTATAGCTTTAGTGGCATGCCATTAAAATTACTTTGAACTAGGGTTGGCTGATATGAAGAATCACAATATTGTCCACCACCTTTTTTCACCACCTATATTTGATTCTTGATATTCTGGGTTGACTATGCTTTTACAGAAAATATACACATATATATCATGTATTGCAGAGATCTACTTCCAACATTCACTTTGATAGTTCATTTGATTCAGATTGTTAAAAGGTAATTTATGTTTTCACAACTATACTGGCAATACAATTACTAAAAAGCACAGTAAGGTAATTATAAACCCTTTATGGAGCATTAAACTCAGGGTGGAATGCTCTTTCTTTTTTCAGTAGCACAGCTTAATGCTTTTGTTCCACCTACTACAAAAAGTGTCCCCAGTGTGTCACTGTGGCTGATTGAAATGCTCAAACAACATAAAGACTCCCTTTGGTGGAGATGAGGCATGTTGCATTACATCATGCAGTCTCTCCTGCATATTTTGGGGGGCTTCAAACAAGACACTAGATGGCAACCATGGTGAGAGGGAAAAAGTGAGAGAGACAGAGAGGAGGGAGACAGAGTGAGGGAGGAGGGGGGAAGTGGGGGGGATGAATAACGTCGGGGTGGGACAGCGGAGGGACGGTCTGTTCATGGCACTCGATTTGCAGCTGGAGGAGAGCTGCAGAGAGGGAAAAGACTGCGCAGTGGGAAATTAGATGAATGCACAGGTACAACAGTGGACGACCCCAGACGGATAAACGAGTTCCAAAATAAATAGTTTGAACTTTTAGATTGGATTATTGCCAAAAGTAGGGAATAGATCTGCAGTAGAGGGGGAGAGGAAGACAAGATGTGCTGCGTCCGTGGCGCCACTGGTGCGCTATCCGGGGACGGCGACGCACTGACACCCCGCGTTTAGATGGCTCCAACATTTGGGGTGCAAAACAGGTGTCAGGGAAGTGTCGTCACGAACCCCGGAAGCCGGAGGAGGTGGGAACATCAGAGGGAAAGATGGCAGCGAAATCCGATGGTCGCGGGGTCGTCACCGGTTTCGCCCAGCTGCACAACCTGGACGAGGTGGTGGGGACGGGAGAGGATGACAATCGGAACAGCAGCTCTTTCCATATCTGCCACTGCTGCCACACCTCGTCGTGCTACTGGGGCTGCCGGAGCGCCTGCCTGCATTACCTCCGGGGGAAGGGGAAGGGGAAGGGGAGAGATTCGGCGCGGCCACCGCAGGAGGAGCGCCTCTGGCTGGACTGCCTGTGGATCATCCTAGCGCTGCTGGTCTTTTTCTGGGACGTGGGGACCGATTTGTGGCTGGCCATTGACTATTACCACAAGCAGGAGTTCCTGTGGTCAGGCCTGACCCTGTTCTTCGTGCTGGTGCCCTCGGTCCTGGTCCAGATCCTGAGCTTCAGGTGGTTTGTGCAGGATTACACTGGAGGAGGACTGGGCTCCGTGGAGGGGCTGAGTAACCGGAGAGTTTCAAGTCTGCAAAGAGACAGGTGTTGCCTCCTCTCTGTCTGGGTCTGGCAGACCGTCATACACATCTTTCAGTTGGGACAAGTGTGGAGGTAAGACAAACTTCAAGTTTTAGTTCACCTAAAAACGTCCAAAGCACAATGTTCCCAGCTCCTCTCACTCTATCCTTTCTCTCAGCCTTCTAACCTCCTCCTGACTGTCACCTGGTATAACCCGCTGCTGTGTACCTGACAGGGGTGAAAAGCAGCACCGTGGTGATGCCATTACGCTCGTCTCAGAGTCTCCACTGTGTGTTGTTAAACATGCATGCGTTTAAAATACAAATTCTACACGCTTTGCAACAATTCCCATGCCCCTCATCCAAATGTGTGCAGACCAAACTGCTACAGCTGCACAGATTTAGCACCACTGTGATTGTTTCATCACAGTGCGCCATTGCGCTTGTGTGGGAGGGAAGAGGGCTATTTGTTCAAAGACAGACATAGTAGCCGACAGCTTGTGTGTATGTGCGTGTGCGTGTGTGTGTGTGTGTGTGTGTGTGTGTGTGTGTGTGTGTGTGTGTGTGTGTGTGTGTGTGTGTGTGTGTGTGTGTGTGTGTGTGTGTGTGTGTGTGTGTGTGTGTGTGTGTGAGTGTCTGAGTGAGCGTCAGGCGCGCCGTTCACATCGCAGTGCACACGGTTGCCTCATTTCACCCCCTCTCCCTCTCCGCGTCAAATACTCCAACTCTGCAATAGAGGCCAGACGAGCATCTGTTTTCACAGCTCACAAAACTACATCTTCCCCCCTCAGACATGATGTCATCGACTCCTCGGCGACGCTCGACATCTACAGTCCCCAAATCCGGTTTTTGACCATACACATTGATGCGTCTGGGGACCGAGGGGATACTCATGGTGTACGTGTCTGCGCGTAATCTGTGGCATGTAGAGGCTACAGCCTACTAGTGAAATGTGACAGTGGTGTGCGCAGCCCTTCTACTCCATTTGGGCTGCTCAGTGGAAGCTGCGAGTTGTTTTTGGTGCAGACAGACGCAGTGGCTGGCATTTAATGGAAAAAAAGTAACGCATGATGGCTGCTCTGAGAGGACAGCCAAAGGATTAACAAATGTAAAACAGCACACAGTAAGACTCATAGGAAGAGGTCACATCATTCCATCTGGACTTTTAGGTTTTCAGTCGACGTTTATAGTGTTTTGTAGTGTTTTTTTGTGCAACAGACTGACCACTGATTCTGTTGTTTGTGTTAGGTTAGGTAGCTGCCTCTGCTCTTCATCAGGCCAATGGCTTGTGTATGCCATGATTGTGTTTAAGTCTAATGCACAAGAACATGTGTGCCCCAGGCTAAATTACTCACATGTATACACTGGGAGTAAAATCCAAACTGAAATTACCTTTTAAAACTAAAATAAATGCCACAAGCCTAAATGAAATACCTTATCCAGTTTTACATATCCACTCTCACAATTTAGTCTAAAAATAAACCTAATATCCTTTTGGCTGAAAAGAACATCTCCACTCTTATGTTCAGGTTTAATTTAGTGGATGGCCGTTCATCCCCTGTCAAGATGGGTTTTCCCAGAATGAGACTACTCTGCATTCCTCATCAGACTCATTTTAATCTACACCTGAAGGCTATTATATTGATTTCCCTGCAGTTGTATTGGCTCAAGTTTATTTACTCCAGTGTGGTTCAATTGATTACTCTGCTCATAACTGTAGTGGTAAGAAGATATGTGGCGTGCTGGGAACTGTTGCACATGTCAAAGTAATTGGTTGTGTTGGTGGTTACGGTGGTTGGTGAAAGTAAAGTGAGAGCATCTCAAGATGTCTAACCTCTCTCTTACAGTCAGCAGACATCTCTCTGTGGTGTCACTGGACAGGAAGCAGCAGTGTGGGGGGAACAAACTTCTCTGGAGTCACATAATCTAACTAGCACATTAGATGTTTGGTCATGCCTCCAATCATTCCTGTATGCATAATGTACTTTATGTCTCTTCGGTGTAGTTGAAGAAGACTTTGTGTAAGATTGATGTCTAGATTGTGTCCAAGTTTTTGTAGCAGCCACATTATCGGATTAAAGACGAACACAGTAGTTCACATTTTTTTGGTAAATATTTGCTTTCTGGCAGAGGCATTCAAAGATTGCCTCTCTCATGTCGAAAGTCAAAGTGAATTTATAGCAACAAGAAGGATAGCTATAGCTTACCATAAAGACTGGACACACCAGAAAACAGCTAGCCTCGTTCTGTCCAAAGCTAACAAAATCAATCTAATAGCCTTTCGAGATGCTCACTAACGAACACGCTTTATTTGGTTTGATTAAATCTGTACAATGGCATTGCTTTTTTCTAATTCAACAATGAAATAACATTTGAATCATTGAGTCCTGGAGGTGCTGTTTATAGGAGAATAGTGACCTTTGTACAGAGAAGCTGTTTCCAACATAATGCTAACATTGCTAAGTTAAACTAGCTGCTAGCTGAAGCTACATAGAAAGCTATTAACCTAAGTGTCAAACTATTCCTTTATGAAGGTTGAAAAAAGAAACGACTTTGTTGTGTCTTAGGTATTTCTGTGTTAACATTACACTTGATCAAAAAAGCTGGCTTTAAGCAATAGACATTTTTTGTGGCATGAAAATGTATTTGTAATGGACATGAATGCTATTCCATTGATGTGAGCATTGAATCGGTTCTTTTGTGGTTTGAAACCTTTGTTTGATGTTGTTAAATTACAAACTTTTGTGTAGTGGGACACAAGTAAATGTTTTCCAGGATATTAGAACCATGCAAACCACAGTACAGCAGTTGGACTAGCTTCAGATTTACAGCTATACAGTACATCTTGACCTAAGATAGCGGCATAGAAACCTGCTCATGAGGAACTCTAAGGAAAGATAATGTGTTGGTGTGTATGTTGTGACAGCACCAAGCTTTGGGCGGAGGATCTTTGTCAGTCCACTGTCTCCCCTCGGACATCCTCTGCCTGGATGCTGGTTTGGGGTCGAAGGTCAAAAGCTGCTCTTGTCAGCTTAGTGAGAGTTCACAACCTACAACACTTGATATGGAGATTGTTAGTCACTGTGAGAGTCCAGAATAACAATAGGCAGCATCTGCTATCAACTTACATTGTATTAATTGGTATGAATATATTTATTAAACAGTACGTTTTTGTTCCAGTATATGGTGCAATTCACTATCTGAATCTCTCATATTTCTTCATCATGCGGGGAATGACAGGATTTCAAAGGAACTGCCAGTCCTCAGCATTCTTAACAAGATGCCACAGTATCTGTTTTTGAAATGTGTTGCCATCATTAATATAAGAAAGCAAGATGAAGTGCTGACAGGAGTCCAAAACACATGCCTCATTACTCAAGCCTATTTTCATTTCTTCATTCAATTTGCTGCCTTCCCTCTGCGCACCTGAGGACCGAGCCGATGACAGGACCGCAGAGCTTGTTTTGCAGTTATTTTCTTGTTAATTGCTGACAGAACGGGGAGGATCCCTCTCTCGTCTGTAATCCCGTTCTGTCTCTGTCTCTCCACACCTCTGTCCTGTCATCCTCTCAGATTCCACTCACATATGCTCAGGCACACAGTGGATCACACATACAAAGAGGCGACACGATGGACAGCTTAATCAGTGCAAACCCAAATTAGCATCTGACTTAAAAAACAAATGCATCCATCTTGGCTCCCCAAGGAAGTCCTTGTAGAAAGTTTTGGAAGCTCTTTGTTGTTAGGAAATCCCAGCAGAATTGGGTTGGGTGTTGTCTTCTGTAATAATTATTGTAGCATATTTCTGGCATTCTTTTGTTCAGTGGCTGCTGAGAATCGACATCTATTCAGTAGACTTTATATTTCTCTGTATTATTAAAAAAAATACTGACAACGTCCTGCATTTAAAAAAACAAAATAGTAACCAAACACTTGAATGTGGTTAAACTACCACTGAATTAAAGGGGCACTCACTCATGAACTTCATCACACTTATCACAGTGAGTAGTACATCTGGAAACAGCTGTGTCATTTTCTCTGTTGCTCTGTAGGAGTTGAAAAGACAAAGCTGGTGATGACATTGGCTTGAGCTTGAGAAGTGGGGTATTAATGAAGGCTGTATTAAAAATGTATTATAGGAATGCATTGTGGGAAATGTAGGATCCAGTTTTTTTGGAGGTTTAAGTTGGGATCAAGTTGGCCTGTTTGGTATTTAAATTGTTTGTTGAAAGTCCATCCACTTTTAGCAAGGGCAATATGCAATAAATGCAGTTATTCTGACCATACATCGTTTGCGTAAAACATCCCTATCTATTATTCTATTGAAACCTTTTCTTTTCAGCCTGGGCATCAATAACCATTTTGATGTCTTTTGATTAGATGTCGGTGAGGACAGTAGTTTGCAGGGGTCTTTGTAAAGTGGTCATTTTTGGATAACCCAGTTTATGTTTGTTTAAAAACTCAACAGATGCAATACGTTGAACAAGACTCGGGAGCTGTCTGGTGCTGACATTCTGGCTTTATTGCATTTCGACAACATGCAGCCTTATACCAGCCAAATGAAACACACAGGTTGTATACATGAGAGTTTGTATTGATTAACTCTGACTTATTGGGTGTCATAGGCCTGAGGCAAGCACATCAATGTTGTGCACAGCACCAGAGCCACAATGAAATCTGATAGATGTGGGTCTTGTTTTGATATTTTGAAATAAGATATAAGGCTTAATATTATGTTCAGTGCACACTTGGTTGTTTATTGTATATTGAAGGGGTGGAATCAACTTATATTATTGTTTGGTTATAGTGTATTTTTGGTTTGAGTTAAATTAAATAAATACAAAATTAAGTTAAATAATTTGAGTACAGTTGTCAATTATAATGAATAGAGCTGGCAGTGGGTTTCTGGAGAGTTACTGAAAATGTGTTAATTACTGTTGTTTTTCACAATGCTGGCTTATGTCGAGGAGACAGTGTGTGGGTTGTGTTATTGTTCGATTTAATATATTCCACTTAAGTGCTAAGAAGCAATGCACTTCAGTCTATTAAATTGCTAATCTTCCATATGTGCAGGGGTTAAATGACACCACAGTG